CATCCGTGCCCATCTTTCTCTACTTTATATGGGATGCCGCCACAGCATGGCTTGACAAGCGGTGCATCGGTGTGCGTCCAGGATCTGAACCCGGGCCTCCAGCAGTGGAGCGCGTGCACTTAACCGCTACGCCAGTGGGCTGGCCCCAGAACTGAGAGTTTTAAACATTTAATTAATTCATTTAAAAATAATAATAAACCCCATTACATGTTAATATATTTTATGAAAAGTAATTATATATTTTCTAAAACAAAAAAAGTAGTGAAAAGCATGGCATTCTTCATTTTTTCAAATCTGTCATGTCTGACTTAATAGAAGGCAGCTGGATTCTCATATCTGCTTCTGTGTTCAATTTGTTGTGATATCATGTATCACATAGTCTCTGGAAAATGCCACTATGTACTCATGAGAGAATGAGAGTTAAAGAGGCTGGCCCTGTGGCCTAGTGGTTAAGTTCGGTGCACTCCGCTGCGGCGACCCACATACAATAGGGGAAGATTAGCACAGATGTTAGCTCAGGGCGAATCTTCCTCAACAACAACAACAAAAAGGCAAATAATGTCTTAGTAGTATTATGAAAATAGTTTTGACCCTGGGGACTCCTTGAAAGGCCCCAGTGTCCCTGGACCACACTTTGAGAGCCACTGTTCCAGAACAACCTCCACTTGGCATGAAGGAACCTGTCCCTGAGAGATTGAATGATTTGCCTGAAGTCACACAGTGGGTAAATTGAAGTGTTGGGACTAGACTCTAAATCTTCTGCCTTGTGGTCAGAGGCTTTTTCCAGTACCCTTGGCTGCAGAGCCCCAGCATGTGGCCCTATAAATAAACCCATTGTGTCTGTGTCCAAGCCCCTCCCTCTCACCACCCGTAGCAGCTGCTTTTTTTATTGTTGGGTTATGCTGTGGACAGGGAACATGAAGGATCCTCAGGAGGAGAGATAAGGGGTGTTGAAATCTGTAAGCCTTTCAGGCTCATAACGTGACTGCCCTTCCTCCTGCCCTGCCTGGAAGGGCAGGGGACTGACCCTACTGTCTGTCTGAAAGAACCCACACCGTGGTACGGAGTTCTTGGAGTGCCCATGAAGAGGAAGTTGCAGGGAGGATGCAGTGGCCCCCTTCCCCATGGACACATGCCTCTCAGAAGTGCTATTGTGTCTTGGGGCCAGTTGTCAGGAGGAGGGAAGGAAATTCGTGTCTGCCCTCTTTCCCTGAGGAGGAAGGAGACCAGTTAGAATTTTTAGGACTAAAAGATGCTTTGGGCTAGGGATTAAGGTGGCCACTTGCAAACCAGGAATGCCCTGAGGCCTCTATCCTTGTATCCCTCCCCACACCCCACACGCAGCCCAGGGCTGATCTTGTCTAGAAAGGGGTGTTTGCTGTGGGTGCAGAAGTTGCTGTTTACAAGTGGACTCTTGGGTGTGACAGGGATTCCAGAAAGCAGCTGGGAGGGAGGGAGCAGAGGGGGAAACGGTCGGCGTTAGGGATGATTCTGTTATTAAAGTGAGCTCTCCATCTCTGCCATCCCACAGCTGCCACCCCTCCCCCACCTCCTGGTCCCTGGCTTCTCTCCCTGGAGGATTCTAGGGGGAACAGCTGGTGAGTGAGGGGCTCATCAGGGCCCAAAGGCCTTGGCTAGGGGCCAGGGTAAGGGAGCATGGAGGACAGGCTTGCTGCCACCTCTCTGGCCCCTTCCTGCCAGGCCTGGACTCTGAGTTCAGGGAGGGGTCTTGCCTGTGCCCTGGCTGGGGAGGGAGTAGGCGATGTAGACCCTACTCTTTTGACCTGGCTGACGGAAAGGCCAGGACAGTCAGATCTCTTGGGGCCCTGCATGACTGACCAGGCTGAAGAGATAGTGGTCGCCCAGATTCACTCAGCAATTGGGCTGAACCAGCCATGTCCCCAGGTTACTTAGAGACCCCTGAGCAGCTTGTCCCCCTTCCCTGCCCTGGCTGCTCACAGACTGCCCCTCATCCCCTCTGAAGGAGGCCAGAGAGGCTCTGCTCTTCCTCCCTTCCTCTCCCTCCCTCCTCTCGGCACTGAGGTCACCTCCCTCTGAATCAGGCCTTTGTGAGGGGCGGGGCTGCCCGTTGGCAGTTCTGGCGGGAGAAGCCTCCAGTTCAAGTTAGAGTTCCTACCCCCTGTGGCTCCCTCGCTCCCCAGCGTGGCCGGCATCCCGCATCCTGTTCTGGGCCTAACATCCAACATCCAGGACCACCGGAGGAATGTTCGAAACCAGGGCCATCCTGAAAAACCCAGGCCAGGGGCTTTCCCTGGCCCCAGGTGGGCCTGAGCACAGAAGCTGTGAGTTGGAGTTGTGGGGCCTGAGGGAGGAGGAGGGTGCTCGGCCCCTGGGGAGAGGGGCCCCACTGACACCCAGCAGGGACAGCCACGGGGGAACTGATCTGGGTTGTTTTTTTCTCATGAGATTTAGGTAGAAAACCCAGACTCTGAAGGGCCAAATTCCTAATTCGGCTCAGATTGGGAGCTGGAGGTGTTGGTATCTCTCTGGATCTTAATATTCCCTAGAGAAGGGTAAAGATACAGGAAGTTTTCTTTTTCACCATAGAAATCTTGAACTCAAATTGTGGTCCTGCTCACAGCTTGCGTTCCTCCCTGGTGCCAAGTTTAAATGCAGGCCTCTTCCCTGTGGCTCTTCAGCAGTCCAGGCTGACGGCTTCCTGTCCTCTGCTTGTGGCCCTGTAGACACAGAGAAGGCCCCTCGTCCTGAGTTGGCCAGGCCACCTCTGCTGAGGGCAGAAAATTTCTCCCCAAAGTGGGGCTGAGTCACAGCCTGCCTTCAGCCAACATTTCCGGAGCCTCTGCTAGGCCCAGATGGGAATACAGAGACGGACCTGCATGACAGAGCTGTTGCTTTTGGGTGGCTTATCACTTGGAGGGTCTCCCCCAGGTCACGGTGTGACTCTGCCCTCCCTGCCCTGGGGTCCACAGGGGCTCAGATTGGGAGGGTGGCAGTGGTTGGCTTTGTGGGTATGTTGGGTCCCCGCCCTCCTCAACATGTAAAGCCACACGTACATAGTCCACAGCCGGTCCTCACAATCTGGGCCTCACGCCTAACCCAGATGCTTTTTTTTTTTCTTTAAGAAAAGATATTCTCCTAACCACCTTGACCCTTAGTTTGGTTTGTGTTTGTTGTGTGAGGAACACAAGACCTGGGCTTTCTCCAGCTGTATCTTTTTCCTTTTCTGGCCCCTGGACACTGCCCTGTTCACCCCACTCCCTTCCTTCACCCTCCCAACTTTTTTTCTCACACCCCCCAGCACTCCCTCCCTGACCTCAACCCCTCGATCCCCTGTAAGTGTCCTTTGGGGAAATGAGTGGTGAGGGGATTGAAGCAAAGCTAATGATCCACAGGGCCAGGCCTCTCCTAGAGCAGTAGGAGCCTCGACCAGCGAGACGATGGAGGCCTGGAGATGAGTGTTGTGGGTGCAGTGGATCCGGTCGAATGGTGAAAGTAACCCAAGATGTCTATAACCCCTATTTTTTTGTTTTAACCCCTATTTGTGTATGTAGGAAGGAAGATATTTCCTGAATTTTTTTCAGTTTTTTCCAGGCCTGTCCATTGCTAAATATATAGAACATAATAATGTTATGAGCAAATGAAATTATACTCGATACATTTTTATGATATTAAAATAACAAAGGACTTTACAGTGTTGGGGAGTATTAAAAATAAGTGTTAGGCAGTTTTTCCTCTAATTTTCAGAAGGCCCCTTCCCACTGTGATACACACAGACACACACACACACACACGTGCGCACATGCACACACACACTCTCACTCAGAAAGAAGCTTCTCCAGCTTTGCTGTTAGCTGTTTTCTCTAGGGTGTCAGGCAGAGAAGAGTGAAGGCTGGGTTAGCTCTGCGGCTGGAGAGCTGGCAGGGAGGGGGGTAGGGAGGAGGGCAGGGCGAGTGGCAGCGCTCTCGGATCCTCAGGTGTCCCTACCGCCGCGACCCCAGGGTGAGGGGCCTGGGACTCAGGGTCTGCTTGCAGGTGAACAGAGGGAGTGGCAGCAGACTCCGAGGCAAGACTTTGCATTGTGCCACTGTCAGGATGTGGTAGTAAGAAAAGCCTCCGTTTATTGAGTTCATGCAAGACACTCTACATACATTCTCTCATTTTATCCTCCAGCAACCCTTTGGGCTAAGTATTCTTACCCCCATTTTACAGACGAGGAAACAGATTTTGTAGAGTCAGGACTCTAACCCAGATCTGTCCACCTGCAAAGCTCTGGGAGCCCTAGGACCGTAGGGAGCTCACATAGCGTAAGGAGCTTCCAGTACAGTTTGTGGGTACAGAGAGGCTGCGTAGGAAGGGGAGATCCAGGCCTGTCCAGTGCTTCGTGAACCAGCCGTATGATTTGGGCAGCATCCTTCGCCTCCAGAGCCTGCATCCTCACCCAGGTTGGTGCCCTCCCTTACGAGGTGGTTAGGAGAATCAGATGCACCGGTGCACGTGAACGTGCCAATGCTGCTTGGCACTCAGGATACACTCAGGGTGTGTGAGTGTAACTTCCTGTTCCTCAGTTTCCTCATCTCAAATATAGGTGTTGATAATAGCATTTAACTCCCTTTGTGGTAATGAGGATTAAAGAAGACGGTATATGTTGGGGAAGGACTGTAAAGCGCCACGTGTGGCTATTCGTTCCCATCTGTTATCTGAGTGATTTCTGGCTGAGAGCTGAGGACCTTTGCCCTGGCTCTTTCCTCTGCCCAGAATGCTCTTCCCATTCCAGGATTTCATCCAGACTTCATTCAGGTCTCTGCTTTGCTGTTGCCTCTCAGTGCTTATCGGGACCCAACATGTGTTCATTGGTTTATCAGTGTATTATCTGCCTCCCCCATTGGATGGAAGCTTCGTAAAGGCAGGGCTTTCTCTGGCTTGTTCCTCCCAGTGGCCCAGCACCTGGCATGCAGCAAGAGCCTGATAAATGCTTGTGGAATGCATGGCTGACATCATCTGCCTCTGTTTTTCCACAGGCAAGGTGACCATTCTGGCTGCTAGAGTGAGTGTGCCAGCCTGGGTGAGGAGGCAGAGACAGGTGAGGGGCTTTGGAGCCTGTGCACGCTGGTGGTGGGGACTGGAGGAGGAGGGCTAGGGGTGGGAGAGGCATCTCCTGTGCCCCACTGTGGAGGACAGAGGAGAGGGCGTTCAGATGCCTCGTTGGTGAGCTGCTGGGGCCTCCTCTCTTCCTTGGTCCAAAAGCTCTAAGCTCTTTTGTGGGGGCTTCAGTGGGTCAGGGAGGTAAGTAGTTGATGGCAGACTGGGGGCCAATACCCTTTTACATTAGGAAGGGTTTCCCATCTACTGGAAATTTCTACAATATTTGTGCCAAAGAAGGAAATGAGTGCTTTCCTCTAGCAGAGAAATTGAAACTCAAATGGAAGTTGAAGACTAGTCAGGTAAAGCCAGTAACTATGGCAACAGTCTGGTGGGGTGGGGGGATCACATAACACAACACGAATCAGGTCAGAACCCTGGCTGTGTTGTTGTCAGGCGATGACAAACTAGTCCATCTAGTCATCAGTCTGTCTCTTACACGCCAGGTATCACACCAAGACATGTGAGTCTGGACAGTGAAGTGAATAGTGTCCCTGCCCTCACGGAGTTGACAGTCTGGGGGAGACAATTACAAACTGTGGAAGAATGGCACCTGACGCAGACTTGGAGTGGGAGGCCTGAAGCATGAATAGGAAGGACTGGCCAAGTGGAAGCGGGGGAGGGTGTCAGGAGACCCCTGCAGAGGGACCAGCGTGCGCAAAGAGGCTGGTCCGCGGGGGCCTCGCTGGAAGCAGGGAGCCTTGGAGGCACAGGCCGCCTCCCACTATATCCAAGAGGATACAGTGTGCCAGTTGGAGGCCAATCTCAGCAGAGAATTCAGGTTTCTCAGCTCTTGGCCAGTGTCTGTGTGACCTGTGATAGGGCAAGTGCAATTATAGGGGTTTATAAAACAATGGTCTTTGTTCTTAAGATAGGAAGAGTGTGTCTGTGTCTGTCCCGTGATTGGAGAGTCTTAGCCTGACCCTGAGTTGATACAATGTCCAAGGCACATTGGTCACACTGATCTAAACTCTGAGAATACTGACAAGTTTTGTTTTTGTCCTTCTCCTCCGCTCATCTCCTCCCTGTGCCCTGGTGTAGCCTGCTGGGGCTTCTCTCACTTGTTCCCACGGCCTGATGTCAGAGGCCATGGACCAGCCAGCCGGGAGTCCTGGAAACCCAAGGCCAGGAGAAGGTGGTGATGGCAGCATGGAGCCGGGCACCTGCCAGGAGCTCCTGCACCGACTGCGGGAGCTGGAGGTGGGGCACAGGGCAGGGTGGGGGCAGCGGTGCTGGCCAAAACCCCCGAGAGCTTGGTGTGGGTTTTTTGGGGTGTGGGTGGACCTTCCTCTCAGCCTGCTCTGCCAGGCTGCAGCAGAGCTGAACAGTTTCTTGAGCAGAGCTCCTCTGAGAAACCCTTTCTTTGCTCTTAGCTCTCCAGCCCAGTGCCAGCATGCACACGGTGGGGCTGACCTAATTCCCAAATGTCTCTCTTCTTTACTCCTCTTCTCCCCCACTTTCAATGCCCCTGCCGGCTCTAGGAAAGGGGTCGTCACAGAGGCCACAGGAAGAAGGGTTTGGATAACCCAGGGCTCAGGAGTTGAGGGACAAGGACATGAATCCTTAAACTAGGCCCTGTACCACATTCTTAAGACCTTGCCCTCCTCCCTCCAGCCTCCTCTGCTCTCTCCTCAGAAAAATAAGGGTTATTTTTGGCACCTCCCACTTTAGGTCCTCCTGGCCACTGTGTCGCCCCAGCCCCTCTAACCTCGCTGACTGAGGTTGGGGTTTACAGAAAACTGGCCTTCTCAGCTCTGCCTTCCTGATGCCCTCAGTCCATCTCTGCAGGCCTCCCCGTGGCAGAATCCAGCCAGAGCCAAGAGCTGGGGCAGGGGTGTAGCTAGTAGACTCTTTGGTCTCCCTTCCCCAAAAGGAATTTTCCCTGGAGGAAAAATAATCCCATAGCCTCCTTTTTCCCCTCTTTCTCCCTCCTGCAGGCAGAGAACTCGGCACTTGCCCAGGCCAACGAAAACCAGCGGGAGACCTACGAGCGCTGTCTGGACGAGGTCTGTGGGGTCTGCAGTGGGACTGATGCTGGGGTCGGGGCACTATCTGCTCCAGGCAAAGGCTGGGTTGGCTGACAGCTCTGCCTCGGGGCTTTCTGTCCCCAGGTTGCCAACCACGTGGTACAGGCGCTGCTGAACCAAAAGGTAAGCAGCCACAGCAGACATTCTCACTTCCGAGCCCAGACTCCCTGGGGAGGAGCCCTGGGTACAGAAGAGGAGGTCCTTCCTGGGGACCCCCAATCCTGCTCAGCTAGGGGCCAGTGGAAGGGGCTTGGTAGAAGTGGCCTGTTGGCCCTCCAGTGAAGCCCTCTTCCCCATCTCGGACAGGTCCGTACTGTTCTACCTGGAGGCAGGGGAGGGCTAGGTAAGGCCAGGTCTCTGAGCTATGGTAACTGATTTGGGCTGAATCCTCCACTTATCCTGGCCCCAGCTGGTTTCTCCAGGTTGTGACGGCCCTGATAACAATGATGTTGTGCGCATAGGGTGGCATCTAAATATCCACTCAAGTCCTGTGGGTAACTTCTTGACATATGGGCCACTGTGACCCCCTACTCTGCCTTATATGGGCCCTTCTTTGATGCGTGGTTTCTAAGAGGCAGGGGGTTGGCTCCAGGGATGGGAAGGGGGCCAAGGGGAATGGGATTTACCTCCCACCAGGGATGGTAAACTTGAGAGAATTTACCATCCCCGGAAGATGCTATGGCTACAAAGACAGGCAGGCTCAGCTCCATCGTAGAAGGAGGTTGCAGGAGAAGGGCCTGCCCAGCAGGGGTGCCCGTTGCTCTGTGAAGGGCACTGTGCTCAGACCACTCTCGTTCTCCTCCGTCCTCCCCTTGTCTCCCTGCGCCTCCTGGGCGGGCGGCAGGACCTGCGGGAGGAGTGCATCAAGCTGAAGAAGAGGGTGTTTGACCTGGAACGGCAGAACCAGATGCTGAGCGCGCTGTTTCAGCAGAAGCTCCAGCTCACCACAGGCTCCCTCCCTCAGGTGGGCTTAAGCGCTTCTCCTTCCCTCCTCATATCTCAGCTTCCTGCCTCTTCCCAGCCCCATCAGCATCACCCTCTTTTCTCCCAGACACCTGCAGAAGCAGGCCGTCAGCCATTCCCCCGTTCCTCCCCAGCCAAGCGAAGGCCCACCTCGCCTGATGAATCTGAGCCTTAGATGGGGGGACACTCCCTGAGTCCCCTCAGGCTTGGCTGTCCCGCCCACCAAGTGCTCCCCACCCAGCTGGGTGGCATCCCTTCTTGTTGACAGAGAAAGTTCTTGCTTGCTCACGCCCTGTGTGGGGAGATGGGTGGAGGCTGAAAACGCAGTTATTTCAAGCTCCCAAGCGGCCCCTTTGGCCACCAAATTGCCTCTTCTTGGCCAGGGGCAGGGGTGGGGCCGGATATAAGAACCCAGGGCTTGGTGTCACAGAGAGGTCAGGAAAGGCACTTCACCCGAGAGCTGTGTGTGTGCTCATAGTCGCATTTGCTCACCCAGCAGCACATAGGCATGGCCGCAAGTGCTGGTCCCTGCTTCCAGCCCTGACACATGCCTCACCCGGGAGAAGTAGGAGGCTACTGGGAGTGAATCCTGGGCTCAGTTAAGATGTCACTTGGGGTCATTCTGTCAGGAAGCCCCAAGGATGGGGTAAGACCTGGGAGTGGGAGGCTCAGGAGCAGCTCCAGGTACCTGAGGCGAACAGCGGGTTCTGAAGTCAGCCAGCACACCCCACCCCACCCCCGACCTTGACAAGAAGAGAAGCACCTTCTGTGTGTATGTGTCTGAATTTGTCTGTCTGCCCCATGCAAACCAGGCAGCTCTGGGCCCCTAGACTCTGAGCAAGATACCCCTCAGCTCCCTGGGAGGCCTGACCCCTGGCAGAGGAAACCTCTCATCACCAGGGCCCTTCTGGAGCCCCCCACCAGGCTGGCACAGAGCTGGGTCTGAGTTGGTGGCGCTGACTCTGCGGCTCTCCCTGCCCTGGTTATCCCTGCTGCAGGGCTCAACCTGGAGTCCCCAGAGGCCTAACCACACTGGCCGAGCTCAGCCCATCCTCGGTGACCGGTGATAACAGAGGGGTAGATCATCATTAAATCATTGATTTTTTACTTAAATGAGTTCTGGGACGTCTTGAGGTTTGGGGCAATAGATTTATCTTTCCCAGAGGTAACATGACATAATGGAAAGAGCATGTACCTTGGCCTCAGATAAGCTTGGGTTGAGTCCCTAACTTAGCTAATTTTTAGCTGTGTGACCTTGGGTAAATTATTTAACCTTATGAACCACAGTTTTTCCCTTATAAATTATGATTAAAATATCTATATTGCAGGTTGTTGTGAGGATTAAATGAGATAATATATAGCGCTTGGTCCATAGTAGATAGGGAATAATTGGCAGCTGTTTTTCATTATTAATGTTATTCCCAAGTGGTGCTTTGCTAGGACGAAAGCTCCGTTGGGCAAATGCTAGTTAAGCTCTTCCTGTGAGCACTGCCTTTGCCAACACACATGGAATTGGACGGCTGTGGCCTGTGCAGAGCAAGCGTACCCCTGAAGGCTGGGACCGCTGGGAGCTAAGGCAGGGCTACAGACAGCCGTAGTACAAAGCAGAGTGTGACAGTGCGGCCTAAGAGCCCAGAGGGGAGACAGGCCATCAGAGACATGCTGGAGAGGTTCCCTTTAGGAGGTGATGTTGGACCTGGGCCTTGATGGACGGGAGATTTAAAAAGAGTGGAGTAGGGGTTGGGGAGGAGGGATTCTCTGTGGGAGGAACAGAGCAGGGAAGTCCAGGAAGCAGCAAGCTGTTCAGCTGGGCTGGAACAAAGGCTGTATGAAGGAGGTGAGTGAGACAGGGAAGACTCTGCTGGACGGGCCCCGGGGTGCCATTCCAGCAGAGGAGTTCAGACTTGTCTCCACAGGCAGTGGGCAGGCATAGGAGGCTTTGAGCACAAAGATGCTTTAGAAAAAAAAAAGAAAAAGAAAAAAATGCTTTAGGCTGCCTTGTGCACAGGAGATTGAAAAGCCACCAAACCAGGTCAGGGAGAGTGAGATGCTGAGCAGCACCCAGGCCAGAGGTGTGAGGATCTGGGCTGAGGAAGCAGCTGCAGGTGGCCAGGCCCAGGGGGAGGCCTAGAGACACCGCAGAGACAGGATTTAAAAGCTGTGGAGAAGGAGAGTTAAAGTTGACTCGTGTCTAGTGGAGACACCTAGGAGAAAGAAATGACATTCTCAAGGACTGGGAGAGAAGTGACCCACAATTGAATACTACCTTAGTAATCCTCAGAGTAGAAGTCTTACATGAGACCAGTTAGAGGAGACAGAAGTGATAACTCCCGCCATGTCTTTTCTAGGACCTCTTCCTTTAGTGTTAGCCATCCCTGTGATGCTAGGGTCACAGACCGTCAGAACAGGAAGGGGCCTCAAGGCTCGCCCTCTCTGTGATAGACGAAGAGGCCCTGCAGAGAAGCAGGGTGGGCCTGGAGTCACGACGGGCACCCAGGTGAGGCCTGCCACTGCCCTCTGGCCAGGGGCACTCCTCTGTTGCTGAAGCCTCCTGACCAGTCCCACTTGCCTGCTGCCTGGGCTTGCACTCTTTCAGTCTACCTGTGCCATGGTCTCCTGAGGCTCTTCTGACCAAGTGGTAGGGACAGTGGTGAAAGCCACACCTTGGGTCAGGAGACGTCCCTGAAGGAGCAGACTTGGAAGACCGTTTTCCTGCCCCTGGGTGAGAAGGCCTAGCTTCCTGAGGGAATAGGGACCTGGGACAGACAGCGCCTATGCTAACTCTGCCTCTCTCTTGCAGATCCCACTCACCCCGGTCCAGCCGCCATCAGAGCCACCAGCCTCTCCCTCCCTGAGCTCCGCCGAGGGACCGGCCACTTCACTGTCTCTGGGGCACTGTGCTGGGCAGAGAGAGGTAGGAGGGCTGGACACGGTGGTCTGTGGCTTCGCTGGCTACAGGCTCGTCACTTGGTATTCCACTGTTGTTTTCTAATGAATCCCAGAGGAAGGACTGCTTCCTGGTGCACAGATTCTTGTCCAGGATGGCTGTAAGCCCTCAGCTGTCAGACTCATACCAAGAAAAACAGATCCCCACCCCCAACCACGGGCCTTTCCAGCAAAGGCATTAGTACTGCAGTAAGACTCCTAGTTTACTCTCATGAGCTCTTACTCTGTGCCAGGCACTGTGCTAAATACCTGGATCTCATTTATCTTATTTTTTTTGGTAATTTTTGGCATGAATTTCTAATTGTATACATATTTATTTTTCTAAGTCCAGAACTATTATTCATTCATTCTTTTGCATCTCTGGTTTCATTTGTCTTATTTTATGAGGTTAAATATAATTACCGTCCCAGTTTACAGGTGATACAATGAAGGTTAGAGGTTAAATAACTTGCCGAAGGTCATGTAACTAGTTAAGGCGGTAGAGCTGGGACTTGAACCTACACAATCTGGCTGCAGAACCCACGTGTTAACCACTACGCCAGACTGGACTGAGAAGGGGCCAAGCAGAAGCAGGCAAGGACTTGCAATGGAGTCGTTCTCCATGGATATCAGGTCAGCAGGACGGCTGTCTGACCTGAGAAGGCCTGAGATTGCCTGCAGTCACGATTCAGGACTTGGCCACATCAGAGCTCCTTCTTTTTTTTTTTTGGTGAGGAATATCAGCCCTGAGCTAACATCCGTGCTAATCCTCCTCTTTTTGCTGAGGAAGACCGGCTCTGAGCTAACATCTGTTGCCAATCCTCCTCCTTTTTTTTCCCCCAAAGCCCCAGTAGATAGTTGTATGTCATAGTTGCACATCCTTCTAGTTGCTGTATGTGGGACGCGGCCTCAGCATGGCTGGAGAAGCGTTGCATCGGTGCGCACCCGGGATCCAAACCCCGGGCCGCCAGTAGCGGAGCACGTGCAGTTAACCGCTAAGCCACGGGGCTGGCCCCATATCCCCTTCTTAAGTCTCTGTCTTCTTTCTGGAGCCTGAAAAATGGGCAGGCCTCTCGCCCCTGGGGCAAACATAGATGTCAGGGTTGTAGGTCACCAGCCCTGCTGACCCTAACAGTGGTGGGGTGTGGGAAGGAGGTAGGGGAGGGCTGGGATAACCAGGAAGAAAGGTTGGGGTGACCAAGGCTTAGTGACTCTTGGGGAAGCTGAGCCGTCATATCCCAGAAGCTGTCAGTTCCTTTTGGGGACACAGACAAAACCAGGCCAGCCCTGTTCCTGACATACTCAGTTATACCAAGCCCAGGTCCTGGGCCTGCACATGGTCTCCTCCTCATGTCATTTCTTCCCCAAGGTATGTTGGGAGCAGCAGCTGCGGCCAGGAAGCCTGGGACCCCCCACTGCCCCACCCCCAGCACTGGATGCCCTATCCCCATTCCTTCGAAAGAAAGCCCAGATCCTGGAGGTGCTGAGAGCCCTGGAAGAGACTGACCCCTTGCTTCTGTGCTCACCTGCCACCCACTGGCAGCCTCCAGGCGAGGGTCCTGGCTCCCCAGAGCCCATCAATGGCGAGCTGTGTGGCCCACCCCAGCCTGAACCCTCACCCTGGGCCCCCTACCTGCTACTAGGCCCTGGTAGCCTGGGAGGCCTGCTGCACTGGGAGCGCCTCTTGGGGTGTCTAGGGGAGGAAGAGGGTGCTGGGCGGCCCTGGGGCCCTAGTAGGGGCTCCCCCCAGGCCCAGGGCACCAGCTCTGGTCCACCCTGTGCCCCAGGCAGCAGCTCTTCCTCCTCTTCTGATGAGGCAGGTGACCCCAACGAGGCACCCAGCCCCGACACCCTGCTCGGGGCCCTGGCCTGCAAACAGTTGAACCTGGGCCAGCTCCTTGAGGACACAGAGTCTTACCTACAGGCCTTCTTGGCTGGGGCTGCAGGCCCACTCAACAGGGACCACCCAGGTCCCGGGCAGCCATCTTCCCCAGACCAGGGGCCCCCACAGCTGTCCAAGTCCAAAGGCCTCCCCAAGTCAGCTTGGGGTGGGGGCACCCCAGAGGCCCACAGGCTGGGCTTTGGTGCTACCTCAGAGGGCCAGGGGCCCCTCCCATTCCTCAGCATGTTCATGGGTGCGGGGGATGCCCCCCTGGGCTTGCAGCCTGGCCACCCCCACTCTTCATCTCAGGTGAAAAGCAAGCTCCAAATTGGCCCCCCTTCTCCAGGGGAAGCCCAGGGGCCCCTTCTGCCCTCTCCAGCCAGAGGTCTCAAGTTTCTAAAGCTGCCTCCAGCCTCAGAGAAGGTCCCCAGCCCAGGAGGCCCCCAGCTCAGCCCCCAGCTCCCCCGGAACTCCCGAATCCCCTGCCGGAACAGTGGCTCAGATGGCAGCCCCTCCCCACTGCTGGCCCGCAGGGGTCTGGGTGGAGGAGAGCTGTCCCCGGAGGGGGCGCAGGGCCTACCCACCAGCCTGTCACCCTGTTCTACAACCCCAGACTCTGCACAGCTCAGACCTCCCCAGTCAGCCTTGTCCACCACGCTATCCCCAGGACCAGTGGTGTCTCCCTGCTACGAGAACATCCTGGACCTTTCCCGGAGCACCTTTAGGGGGCCTTCCCCAGAGCCACCTCCATCCCCACTGCAGGTGCCCACCTACCCACAGCTAACTCTAGAGGTACCACGGGCCCCCGAGGTCCTCAGGAGCCCTGGAGCGCCCTCCAGCCCCTGCCTCCCAGAATCCTGCCCCTATGGGAGCACCCAGGAGAAGAGTTTGGACAAGGCAGGCTCCGAATCTCCCCATCCTGGCCGCAGGACCCCAGGCAGCTCATCCAAGAAGCCCAGCCAGGGGGCAGGGCGGCGACCTGGGGATCCTGGCCACACACCTCTGCGGGACAGACTGGCAGCCCTGGGGAAACTGAAGACTGGCCCTGAGGGGCCCCAGGGCCCAGAGAAGAACGGGGTGCCGGCCAGGCCTGGCACCGAAAAGGCCCGGGGAGCAGGGAGGTCAGGGGAGAGCACTGGAGACATGGTGTCCCCCGGCCCCAGGCCCCCTGAGCAGCCAGAAGCCAAGGGGGCCCTGCGGGGGGCAGTGGCCTTAGGCACAAGCAGCCTGAAGCAGCAGGAACCCGGGCTTCTGGGGGACCCCGGGGCCCGAGTCTACTCCTCCCACTCGATGGGGGCCCGGGTAGACCTGGAGCCTGTCTCACCAAGGAGCTGCCTCACCAAAGTGGAGCTGGCCAAGAGCCGGCTGGCAGGGGCCCTGTGCCCCCAGGTACCCCGCACCCCTGCCAAAGTGCCCACCTCAGCCCCCAGCCTCGGCAAGCCCAATAAGAGCCCCCACGGCAGCCCTACAAAGCTACCTTCCAAGTCACCCACCAAGGTGGTGCCCCGACCTGTGGCCCCACCAGGCACCAAGGAGCCCCCCAAGCCTGACAAGGGGAAGGGCCCACCTTGGGCAGACTGTGGTGGCCCCACAGCCCAGCCCACGCCCCCAGCACCTGGCCCCGCTGACCCAAGCCAAGGCCCTGAGGGGCGGGCCCCACACTCGGCCATTGAGGAGAAGGTGATGAAGGGCATTGAGGAGAATGTGCTGCGGCTCCAGGGCCAGGAGCGGGCACCAGGCACCGAGGCCAAGCACCGCAACACCAGCAGCATCGCCAGCTGGTTCGGCCTTAAGAAGAGCAAGCTGCCAGCACTGAACCGGCGCACGGAGGCCACCAAGAGCAAGGAAGGGGCTAGTGGGGGCTCCCCACTCCGGAAGGAGGTCAAGATGGAAGCCCGGAAGCTGGAGGCTGAGAGCCTCAACATCTCCAAGCTAATGGCTAAGGCAGAAGACCTGCGCCGGGCGCTGGAGGAGGAGAAGGCCTACCTGAGCAGCAGGGCCCGGCCACGGCCCGGGGGACCAGCACTGGGGTCCAGTGCAGGGCTGGGACAGGTGCAGGGCCAGCTGGCTGGCATGTATCAGGGTGCAGACACCTTCATGCAACAGCTGCTCAACAGGTGAGGGCCTGGGACCCGTTGGCAGGTACTCGGTGGCCTGGGGCACTTTTCCCTTCATGAGCACACCTGCGGCTGGGGCTGGGGCTGCATTTCCCCAGCTTGGGCATCCCAGAGGTCAAAAGGGGTAGGAGGTCAAGTAAAATGCTACCAAAGCATCTGGGGGTTAGTGGCCTGGCCTGGAGGAAAGATTGGGGGCTTGAACCAGAAGCGGGGGGTTTGTGGCCCAGCTCCCCTCCTCCCTGGCTGTCTGATGTCAGACCTGCTGAGACCCACTTTCTCACTGAAAAGAGTTAGCAGTCCACATTCTCCTGGATCCTCTCCAGCGTCAGATGAGGCAGCCTGTCTAGGTGCCTGCATGCAGTAGTTAAGGGGATGCCATTCCTAACTACGGGCTGGTGAAGGTCTTCCTCTGGGGCTTTTATCCTATACAACAAGGGTGGTCCCCTTCCCATCTTGCCCTTTGGCATCTGCCACAGATTCAGCAATGGGAGCTGTGGTTTAGAGAAGGGGCCACCCCATCTTGGGTTGCTCCATTGGGGCCAGATGAGGCAGAATGTCTGTAGGGGTTGAACCCCAGGTAGGGTATGGCTTGGAGAAGCAAGTGCGTTCAAGTTCAGCTGGGGCAGGCAGGGTGTGTCATGTGTGGACCAGGATGTCACTGGGTCTGCCATCTACCTGCAAACACTGTTGAAAAGTTTCTTGGCTTGACCCTGGAGAGCTTTGGGGGAGTTCTTCCATCTCCCTTGCCCCTGCTGTTCCTCTGGGGTTTTCTCTAGGGTCTCTGCCTGTTCCCAGAGTCAGGAGGGATTGATGGGGGCAACCACCAGGGATATGTCCACTTCCCAGGGCAGGGGGAGGGCAGTGGGGGCCTCAGTAGGCCCAGCACCATTGGATGGAGTGAGGCCAGAATGTCTGGGTGGACCCAGGCCTCCCTCACCTCCGTCTGCACCCCTGCCCCTAGGGTGGATGGCAAGGAGCTGCCACCCAAGAGCTGGCGGGAGCCCAAACCCGAGTATGGCGATTTCCAGCCGGTGTCCTCTGACCCCAAGAACCCCTGGCCAGCTTGTGGGCCCCGAAATGGCCTGGTGGGCCCTCTTCAGGGCTGTGGAAAGCCTCCTGGGAAGGTAGGTTCTTGGAATAGGGCCTGGGTAGAGGGCCTGGCTCTGTGGCCCTACCAGGTCTCTTGCCCCTGGAGGGCTCCCCTTCCCTGGGTCCTAGAAGCTGCTGGATGCACTCATAGTCTCTGAGGGAGGCTGGGGAGGGGAGTGGGCCTCCTGAGGGCTGGCAGGCTGTGGGCACTCTCAGACCCATGCTCAGGCAGAGCTAATGGCAGAGCTTGGGGAGGGGTTTGGGCTAGGGGAGGAATGAGCTCTGAGGTCTCCTGTACCCCACACAGCCGAGCAACGAGCCGGGGAGGCGGGAAGAGATGCCCTCGGAGGACAGCCTGGCCGAGCCAGTGCCCACCTCGCACTTCACAGGTCAGCAGGGTCAGGGTCAAGGATGGGACCTGCCCCTCACCCCCTGCCCACTTCACTCCTTCCTGTCTCTGCCCCAGGTGCCAGGCCCTGAGTGTCTTCTTGGTGCCAAACACCTGGAGGGCACTGGGGCTGCACAGAAATAAATCCCTCCCTGCCCTCAGGGTGTACCTGCCTTTCCCCCTCCCCCCGCCATGCTTCCCCACACCTAGGGAAGGTGGCGGAGGGCCACAGCCTGTTGGGCCAGGAGGGCCCCTGACCAGAGGTGGAGCCTGGGCTGGGCCAGGAAGCGGGAAGAGGAAGGCAGAGGGGCTGAACCACCTGCAGCCTCATGTCCCTGACTTTCCCTCCCCTCCCCAGCCTGTGGCTCCTTGACTCGAACCCTGGACAGTGGCATTGGGACCTTCCCGCCCCCAGACCATGGCAGCAGTGGGACCCCCAGCAAGAATCTTCCTAAGACCAAGCCACCACGGCTGGAGCCCCCACCCGGGGTGCCCCCAGCTCGACCCCCACCCCTTACCAAAGTCCCCCGCCGTGCCCACACGCTGGAGCGTGAGGTGCCAGGCATAGAGGAGCTGCTGGTGAGTGGGCGGCACCCCAGCATGCCGGCTTTCCCAGCACTGCTCACCGCTGCTCCAGGCCACCGGGGCCATCAGACCTGTCCTGACGGTGAGTGTCCTGGCCGGTGGGTGGGCCATCCCTGGAGCTCCACCCACCACCACCCACCTTCCCCTTGTCCCCGGACAGATCCCTGTGAAGACCCAGGTCCTCCCCCTCCTGTCCAGCTGGCCAAGAACTGGACCTTCCCCAACGCAAGGGCAGCCGGCAGCTCTGCTGACCCTTTCCTATGCCCACCCCGACAGTTGGAGGGGCTTCCCAGGACCCCCATGGTGAGCATGGCTGAAGGGGGAAGGGATCAGGACTGGAGGGCAGGAGGCAATGACGTGGGGAGACCAGTTTCTACAGTGAGGTACAGCCTGTCTGGGAGGAGGACTCAGGGGACAGCCCCTGGGATGCCCTCTGGACAACCCACCCAACTGCCCTTCTCACACCCCTCTTGGGGAACGGGTTGCTCTCCCTCCCCAGAACCTTGGTAGGACTGTGCTCAGTCTGCCTCGAGCCTGCATCCTCTAAAGCGCGCCCCACCTAGGCGGGCCCCCTCTGTGGCAGCCCCGTCAGGTGCGGCCCCTCCCTGCCCAGTGCCTCAGGCTAGGCCGAGAGGTGAGAGGCACTTCCTCTCCAGCTTCCCCTCCTTTCCCAGGCCCTGCCCGTGGACCGGAAGCGGAGCCTGGAGCCCAGCCGCCCAGCCCCGACGCCCCAGGGCCCAGCGTTTGGGGGTAGCCGCACCCCCAGCACATCAGACATGGGCGAGGAAGGGAGAGTGGCCAGCGGGGGCCCCCCAGGGCTTGAGACCTCAGAGTCTCTCAGCGACTCGCTCTACGACTCACTCTCCTCCTGTGGGAGTCAGGGCTGAAGGGCTGTGCCACACCACGGCCCCTCTCTGGAGTTGGAGACCACAGACTGGACCTGCCCTCCTCATGCCCTGCCCCTTGGGGCCAGCGGGGCCCCTTCCTGAAGGGACCAAGGAGGCAGATGGACAAGAAGGTGAAGGGGGTCCCTGGCACACCCCACTGCTGCTGTGGAGGAGATGACCGCTCTCAGCTCAGGGAGAGACCCCACCCTTGGTCCCTTCTCTCACCCAGAGTGAGGCTCGTCCTCTGAGGGACTGGGGGTTCAAGGCCGCTGTGTCCCGGCCCCCAGCTCGCACTTCAGGCTGAGCCATCTTGTGGTGCTGGGCTTCCTGCCCACTGGCCATGCCATCTCCGCCCAACCTGGCTGCTCCCTGCCCCGGCACCCCCACGGGGCCAGCCCGGAGGCCCCATGACGGTGGAGTTCGGGGCAAGCGGTCAAGTTGCCTTCTCTCTCTGTCTGCCCTGGTCCTCCCTGCTGTCTGGATGGTGCTGCCCTCCCCTGCCCCATGTCTTTGGGGTTCGTTGTTTGTCTTTTTGTTGTTTTTATATTAAAGCACCTGGCCCGGTCCCCATCCCCCTATCCCGCACTGCGGTTAATTTATCTGTTGTTAAAAACGCGGCTGCTCTGCTTCCAGCCTCTGCTTCTGCCGTATCCCTAATAAAACGTGGAGGCCCCTCCCTGCGCCTGACTCAGCTTGTTCTGTGGGAGGTCTCAGGAATGGATAGGTGGGTGGAGATTACATAGGCACCAGGGTGAGGGACCCCAGGGACCTATATGCCCCAGGTGCCCTTGTGAGGTAGCCCCCGCACCAGGGGAGCTGGCTGGGGTCACCCCGGAAGGTGACTAGGGGTTGGGGAAGTGGGGCCTGCTGAGGCCTGGAATGGTACCTGGGACTGGGAGATTCCCCTTGGGTGGGGCAGAAGGCTGGGCTGCCCTTTGGGGAGGGTGCTGGGGGACATGCACTCAATCCTCTGTACGGACCAGGTGGGGGGATGTGCAAACTGGGCCTCAGGGTTGGAGGGGAGACAGTTAAGTGTCTGTAGCCTCCTGTTGCAATAAAGTGAAGCACAGCTGGGTCTCAAACTGTTGCTACCTTCTTAGCTCTCCTCAGACTTTGGGCTTTCCCCAGATCTTCTTGCCTCTATTTCTACCTCAGATTTCAGCCAGAAGTTCCCCTAGCTCTGAAGTCCTCATAATAGAAAGGGGAGGTAGGAATGAGGCTGTGTGGAAGGGTCTAGGCTTCCAGGGGTTATTTCAGACTCCACATGGCACACGCAGGCCATGGTGTGGTCATGGTGCCCCAGCCCTTGAGTTTCCTGTGGGGTGTGGAGCTGGGCAATGACCTGAAGGTGAACCAGGGGGCAGCCAGCCCGTCTCACATTGGCCAGCCAAGTTGGGCCTTCCTTACCCCACCTCCCTGCAAGATGTGGGGTAACTTGTCCAGAGTGCCCACCTGATGTAGGCTACACTTGCCACCTCCTTATGACATACAGTCTAAAAGCTCTCTGGACAGCGTGCATGTTCAGCACCCCGGCCTTATGGCTGGGACTCTGGACAATTCATCGTGGGGATGGAAGCCCTGTAGTGGAGACATGGTTTGTGTTGGTACCACAGGCTTGCCAAGCCTAGGTCAGGGAACAGTGCTGGGCCCATTCACAACTCGGTTATACCACTGGACACCATCCGGTGCTCTGACCAGCCCAGGAAGGTTGAGAGTGGGGAAAGTGTCAGTGCCTCCCTTTATACTAGCTCCCTCCAGCAGTGTCTCTCCAGCCCCTGAATGCTCCAGAGAGCGGTGAAGGAACTCCCTCCATTAAAATAAACACCTAGCATGCTGCCAGATTCCTGATCCCAAACCCCCACCATAGCCCTGCTGCAGGAAGCATCATCCTCATTTCACAGATGACGACACGGAGGCTTGGAAACATTCGATGGTTTTCCAAAGCTGAGAAGTGATGGAGCCTGGCGGGAAGGTTCCTTTTTGGATATGTAGCTTTGCTTTTTTCTGCGAGTTTTTTAGTCTCCTCCCCTTTTGGCCTGTGGATCGCTTCTGATGGGCGGGGCTTGCAAGCACTAGGCTGGAAGTCAAGAGTCTTAGCCATTGAGTCTGATTTTGTCGAGAAAGCTGCTTCCCTTCTCTAGCCTTGGTTTTCCTTATCTGCAGAAGATTAGCAGGTTGGACCAGACCAGCTTTCTCCTTAGCTCTGCTTCTTACCCCTCCCCCAATCTGGCCTCTCTCCCTCCTGCTTCCCTCAGTTGACGTCATCATTGAGGAAACTTAACAAGACTTAGAGAAGGGTCAAGTCAGATGTCTTGGTTTTCTTCAGTGTCAGGATCTCGTTTTACTTCCGTTGTCTACTTCCAGTTTCCTATCCCACCGTCCCTCCTGCTTTTATGGGCTTAAGGATGATAATACTAAGCTGTAGGTCTCTGCCTCTTGCCAGGCAGGCTCAGAAAAGTCTACATCCTTCTCCTAACTTCTTATTTCTTGGTTTTTCAAGCCCTTTTCTCTTCTCTGTTTGAGCCTGATGTATTACCTCATTTCCTTGTTATAACAGAATTGTTTGCATGCAGGATATTTATCCTATTTCCTTTCCGGGAAGGAGCTTGGCCTGGTGGGTTTGACTCTGGACTCCACCTCTTACAAGCTGACACCAAAAGGTCCATCCATGTTACTGTCACCAGGCTCTGTTCTGCAGTGTTTGCAAGTGCAAGGTGCCACCTTGGTCCCTGGGGCAGTGTGGGCTGACTGGGGATATGTCTCACTGTTAGTCACCAGAGCAGGGTAGCATCAGCCACACCTGGTGCCTGGAGTCAGCCGTTCCCCACCAACTGTTCCAAGGTGGGAAGCTCTCGTTCCTCAATGCTGCAGCATGCTGCTAAGGGGTGCTGGGCCCAGATAAGCCATCCCACAGCCCATATAACTGTGTGCCCTCCACACAGATAGAATATTCCGCCTGAAGTAATTCTGTGGAGGGCGACACACATGAGAGTTAAAGACGCTCCTGGGAAACCAATTTCTCCTTGCACTTCAAGGAAGGGTTTGGCCAAAAAGACCACCTGATCCTCCCTATGGCAGAATACTTCATATCTCAGTTTGCAACATCTGCTTGCAGAATTAAGGCGACCTCACTGTTTTCTCCAAGAACAATGGGTGAATGTTTGCCTTACCATTGTGGATTACCCTTTCTGCTGAATTTCCCAAAGAAAGGGAGCCAAAACTGCCCGACCTCTCTTATGCTCTCCAAATGGCATCAAGGCATCAGCAAAAGACAATGAAAAGTTTTCAGGTTCCACCTCACTTGGGCACCCTGCCTTTTGCAGGAAATGTCCCAAAATGTTAGCAGGTTTTCTCTGGGTTGCCAGTGGTTTTTATTTTCTTCTTTATCCTTTTCTAGATTTTCTACAAATAGTGTGTTTTGTTTTCTTTATCAAAAACAGTTTTAAAAAAGAAATAATCATACTCTGCAGCAAACTCTAGATAGATACCTATTCTGTAATAGCTATATTCTGTAATCCTCTGTGAGTTAATTCAAGCATCTAAATGAATATTTTTAAAAGATACTCCAATTTGGGAAAGAATTTTTTTTTTTTGGTGAGGAAGATTGGCCCTGAGCTAACATCTGTTGTCAATCTTCCTCTTTTTCTTGAGGAAGACTGGCTCTGAGCTAACATCTGTGCCCATCTTCCTCTATTTTGTATGTGGGACGCCACCACAGCATGGCTTGATGAGTGGTGCGTCAGTCCACACCCGGGATTTGAACCTGCAAACCCCAGGCCACCAAAGCTGAGTGCATGAACTTTACCACTATGCCACTGGGCCAGCCCCTGGGGAAGATTTTTTTTTTTTTCTCGTGAGGAAGATTAGCCCTGAGCTAACATCTGATACCAATCCTCCTCATTTTGCTGAGGAAAATTGGCCCTAGGGCTAACATCCGTGCCCATCTTCCTCTACTTTATATGGGATGCCGTGACAGCATGGCTTGACAAGCACTGCATCTGCGTGCGCCCGGGATCTGAACCTGAGAACCCCAGGCTGCTGAAGTGGAGCGCCAGCACTTAACTGCTACAGCACCAGGCTGGCCCTAGAAGAATTTTTTTAAAATCTTTTTTACAATTATTAAAGACATACAAATTATAAAAGTGCATGTTCATAGCTTTTAAAAAAAGGTAATTGAGAGGCCGGCCCCGTGGCTTAGCTGTTAAGTGCACGCGCTTTGCAACTGGTGGCCTGGGTTCAGATCCAGGCGTGCACTGACGCACCCCTTGTCCAGCAATGCTGAGGCGGCGTCCCACATACAGCAACTAGAAGGATGTGCAACTATGACATACAACTATCTACTGGGGTTTTGGGGAGTAAAAGGGGGAAAAAAAGGAGGAGGATTGGCAGTGGATGTTAGCTCAGGGCTGATCTTCCTCACAAAAAAAAAAAGTTACTTGAAATTGAGTAGAATGTTTACAAGGAAGAGGAAGAGTCTCTTTCATACTCCAACTCCCAGTCTCATTCCCCAGACATACGCCAAGTTGATTGGTAACCTTTCAGATCACTTTTTAAATGCACACACACAGAGCATGTTTTTTTTTTTTTTTTT